GATCATTTTAGCGACTTCCGCACGAGTGGCCGCAGGAAAAAGAGCCTCCAAGTGCTTGATGCGAGCGGCGACCTGGCGGGGCTCGAGCGCGAGGATGTCCGGCTGACGAGCCGCGAGCATCTCCACCTTCACCGAGGGCAAATGACGCGCCAACCCCTCCATCCCCTCCCTGAGCCTGCCGGCTGCGTCGCGAGACAGGAGGTCCGGCCGACGCATGATGATCCTCCCCAAATTTTCTTGGGGGAAAATGGCTCGAAGGGCTACGATCTGAGGGAACAGGACGGTGTCCCATGCCCGAGTGAGGACGGCGGGGTTAGGGCAGACCACTCGCGCCAGATCCATCCCAGGGAGCTCCCACTCCAGCCTCTCTGCCGTGCTTTTAATTTGAGAATCAAAATCTTGAAAAACAAGGATGGGAGCTTTGGCCATCAAACGTAGAGGTCGGCAGGCCGGAAGTAATGCTGCCAACTGGACCTGACGCTCCGCCACTCGAGCAGCAAGGTCGTTGGGCTCGACACACAGAAGATCGGGGACCCGGCATACCATGGATGTCGCGTTTTCACGAGGGAAAAGAGCGTACAAATGCTCCAAACGACGTTCGATTAGCCCTAGGGGGAAAAAGGCCAGGCCTGCCAGAGGTTGGAGACGAGTGGCGTGCCCGATTAAGTCCTCTGGGGTGGGAGTGCCGGAGACGGTAGTGGTTGCAGCCGCTGGTTCCATCCCTCTACATGGCTGGCTCAATGTTTTCCAACATTCCTTCCATTGGCAAAAAAACTTTCTTGACTGGCCTGTAAAAGCATCGCTGGGCCTCACACACGTGCCCACTATAAGAAGAAGCCCGCACAGCAGAAGGGGGTGATATCTTGTGCCAGAGCGAAAATGAACGTGTAAGGCCATGGCAACCGTCCGACATGCTCACCGTCTACACATTCTTGAACGATTTTTCTGTCATGTGGAAAAGGTGAAATGATGGGAATATATGAGAGACTGAAATGCATCAGAAAATACAGGTAGCAAGGCACAACGTACGCGTGAAAATCGTGACTTCACAGCTGCGAGGACATGCCATAGAGCGTTTTGGGAGCTACGAGTTCTCAGCAATGAAATAATGCATGGATCTCATTTGAATATGTGAAATAAATCTTTAGTGTACGATACATAGAAAGCCTCAGTGCAGCCGTGCGCACGTAACCTCTCCTTCGCCCTGCCCTTGTACTGGAATGATGTCCTTCAGTATCATACTTCAGTTGAAGCATCAGTCAGGGAAAATGACAAGGATTTCCACTGCTTTGGAGCTTCCGGTGACGCACTGAGATTTTTAATCGATTGAACAGATTTATTCGAGCGCTGAGGGTTTGATAACTGAATTGGGTGAAGGGGGTGTCTTGTCGGCACATTTATCCCTGTTGGACCCACGATGGGCCCTAGAAAGGATCGCAAAGCTCGGTAGTTCTGGGAGGGCTTGTAACCACGTTTTTATTGACAAAAAGTGTCACAATCCCCCCAAATGCAAGAGAGCATACCACGTTTCGTTCGATTCTATATTTTAGATGCGCTTATACTATACCTTTTGATTTAGAGGAGGTAAATTCATTACGCTATGTGATGGCCACTATCATCGTAAGACCTAGTAGGAAGCGGTAACGCTGGCTGTGTCCATTACGTGGGCGGCTACAAAATTATATTTTACGATCATCAGCATGTCAAAATATTAGATTAAGCCCCGAATTCTCGTTCTGGAGGTGTCTTGGGGGATTTTCGGTGAATAGGGGTGCAGGAAACCTCTTTCCAAAACTTTTCAAGGAGGTCGAGCAGGGGAGTTATCAATCCGGGTATGCCGCCTCACATGACTTTCGCTGGTGTATCTTCACTCAGCCATCCGAGGAAAATCTGCGGCTCGCTGCAAGGTCTCAATACTTTCATCTTAAAATTGATTTATGGACATACAACTAACAGACTGACCTAACCTCTAAAAATAATCAGACACGGGGCTGCAACTCAAGGGAGAGAGTATTTTGTCGTGCACACAAACTTAATCATAAATGTTTATTCCTCTTTATCTCTCTTGTCTAGATTGTGGTAGCCAACCATTTGATAAACAATGCTCACTATGTAAATCATCCCGCCCAGGCGTCCCATGTCACTCCTGGCTCCCACCCGATTCATTCTCCTTTGGCGCCAACTCCACGGTGCCATCTTCGAGCACCATGAGATCGTACTTGGCCGCTAATTCCGGATTACTTTTTATGTCTAAGTACTTCGCTTCCTCACCGCGTGCCGCTAAGATGTCATCAAGAGTCACTTTACCTCCTGCAGGATTGGACTCCCCCTCCTTCCCCTTCTTGACCAAGCCCCCGAAATCAAGCTTACTCAAGTTATCGGCGACAAGGTGCTTGGCATCACAATGTTTGCAGCGAGCAACCACAATGCCTTCGGTGAAAGCGACGCGGTCGACTTGAATGAGGTTCCGTCCTTCACAGATGTTGCACGTGTACAGCATTTGAAATTTCCGGGAAGGAGGAGAAGGCGCCGCCGACGACCCAGTGGTAGTAACCCCAGCCGCATTTGCGCTGCTACCGCGATGACTGAAAGTGGGTCGAATGATGCTCGGTCCCTCCTCCACCTGAACAGATAGCAAGTAATGAACTTCAGACGGGCAGCAAAGGAGAATCCCGCTAGCCAACACGCACCTTGCTGGCCTCCTGAGCTCCATCCTGCTTCCCGTCCTCCTCTCCATCCCCTCTTGGCTTTTTGCCGAAGCCTTTGCCTCTTGCCACCGTTAAAAAGAATTCTTTTCGTCGCCCATGTGCCCGTCTACTTTCGAGAAGATCCTGCCGCCGTGAGAGCAGCGGGAGGGACGACGGGGTTATTAGTGGTGCAGGACATGGCTGAAAAGCAGCGTTGCAATTGGAGGTGTCAGCATAATATCCTGTGTAGATGATTCGTGAGATAAAGTAAACTAGTATGTCCTGAGCACGCTTCCGACCTACCTATACCTGCGGCCCGAACCCCACTCGCAAAAAACAGCAAGACATAAACCAATTGCGAAGACCAGGTGCTGCATGCGTCCATCCTATCCATGCTGCAAGTGTTAGAATGCTTCTTTGCTCTACCTGTGGATGTACATGTGTTCCCTTGGGTTCTTTGCCGTTCGTCTCGAATGCGAACAGGAAAAAAGCCTGCGAGGCCGTCCAGGACCCGGGAGGTTACTACCTAGTAGGGGCATCCTCCATCGTCTGTGCCCGTGACTCCTACTTCAGGACTCCAGAAGCCGGCACTCCATTCAATCCCGCGGGTCTTCAAGAGTGTGACCAGTGTTTTTCATGACAATTGCTCGGGAATCATCACTTCAAATCCACGCGTCACGTGATGCCTCCTGTCGAAGTGGCATCCATAAACTCGGCGGTCGAATGGTGGGAAGCTACATCTGACGGGTTTTAAACTCTAAGCTTGACTCTGAATATTTCTTTTGACACGCACAAGGTAAGGAAACAGCTTTGACACGAGATCTCGATGGCGCCAGCTTCTCCGTGTATGCTTAAGTGGCTGGCCACGGGCCTCCCTCATGCAACGACCGAGCACAAGGTGCACTGGGAGGATGAGGAGCATTTCGTGCTGCGCGCAGACGGAGACATAATTAAGGAGCCTAATACTGTCGCGCGTGCGATAGCGAAAGCAGTAACTCCTGAGCTTACGGGTGTGCTACCAGTCGAGCAGGGGCAGGTGGTGCAATGGCAGTCCTGGGCCTCGGAGACTGAAGACATCCTAGGTCGAGCTGTCGAACTCAATACTTTCCTGGAAGGCCGTTCCTTCTTGGTGGGTGCGGCGCCTACATTAGCTGACATCCAAATGTACTGGGCCCTTGCAAAAGTTGTGGCGCTTTCCTTCCCCGGACCGCTGGGAGGGTCGGTGGCTCTGATGCGCTGGTTTGACCAGATCCAGAACTGCCTGCGCGTAGGAGCTTTTGCCATGTCGTACGACGTGACGCATTTGCCCCAACTTGTTCCAATGCATTCCATTTTCAAACCTGTGGCGATGCCTGTGTACGATAGAAGCAAAGGTCAAGAAAGAGTGGGCGCAGCAGCGAGCGCGCATGAGGGCGGAGGCACCGCGTCGGTAGAAAGCAAGGGGGAGGCGGCGGCGAAAGCGAAGGGAGCGAGGCAGAGAGACGGGGAGACTGGCGAGAAAGCGGCAAGCAGCGATGGGATAGGAAATCATCACGCACAAAGCCAGGGGAAAAAGTCGAAGAAGAAGGAGGAGCCAGCCCCTGCGACCGAGACCCTAGGAAAGGGCGAGACGGCGCCCACGGAGAACCCCAATGCCCTGGACATCCGGGTAGGAAGGTTGGTGAAAGTCTGGCCTCACCCGGAGGCCGAAAAGCTTTATTGCGAGGAGATCGATTGTGGCGAAGAAAGCGGGCCCAGGCAGATCGCTTCGGGGCTCCGGCAATTTTACAGCGCTGCCTCCGAGCTTGAGGGTCGAATGGTGCTAGTGCTCGCAAATTTGAAGCCAAGGAAACTCGTGGGCTTTGCCTCAAATGGCATGGTCCTCTGCGCCTCGGATACTGAGCATACACAAGTGAAATTGGTGGAACCGCCCGCCCATGCCAAGGTGGGGGACCGCGTCGTCTTCCCCGGTTTCTCCACCGAGTCGATGCCCCTGACGCCAGCCCAGGTACAGAAAAAGAAAGTCTTTGAAGCCTTGGCCGCCGGTTTGAAAACCGATTCCCAGGGCAGGTGCATCTTCAAAGACGAGACCCATCCCTTCTGGGTCGCCGGGAGGGAGGGGTGCGAGGCCGGCGCGGCGTGCACAGCGCCGTTGCCGAATGCCCATGTTTCTTGAGTTATGCGTTCAAGAAATGTCTTTTTCGCGGGAAAATGAGCAAGTGCATGATGGTTTGTGGTTCTGATTCCCAAGCCACTTGATAAAGAAGAGGTACGGCCACAGTGTGATGGAATGGCAAAGCCCGGGCCGCTTAGCCCCTGGGAGTGGCTTACCGGCCGAGTTCCTGGTACTTATTGTTACTTCAGTGCCTTTCCCGCTTCCCCTTCCCACCTATGAAGTCAACATCTTTTAAAAGATCAACTGCTGGATTGCACCTCCTCATCGCCGTAGTACATCGTCTCGATGTACGTCCTTAGATCTATGTAGGCATCGTCCAGGTCGGCGTTCACTACCACCTTGTCAAAGTTTCCCGGTGCCACTCCATATTCCACCTCTCTCTTGGCATTCTTTAGACGCCTGAGTACATCTTCTTCTTTCTCTGTCTCGCGCCCCCGTAATCGCGATTCCAACACCGCCAAGGATGGGGGAGATATAAACACATACAGGGGCCGCAAATCATGGAGCGCGCCTCGCGCCAACGCGCCTTTCACAGAAATTACTCCTTGTACGTCGATATCCAATATACAAATTTTTCCTTCCTCCTGAACTTTTTGGATGGCTTCAAAACTTGTGCCATACAGATTATTGTGTACCGTCGCGTGCTCCAAAAATTTGCCCTCATCAATCTCAGCCTGTAGCCGCTCGCGAGTCGTGAAGAAATAGTCCACCCCCTCCTTCTCTCCCGGGCGGGGACCTCTAGTAGTATGGCTGCAGGAGAATCCAAAGCGCAAAGGATACTCCCCCAGCAAGCGGCGGATCAGGGTGCCCTTCCCCACGCCCGAGGGCCCGGTTATAATAAGCGGTCGACGCACTGCCATCCTGTCTACTGGCTGGTCCAGACTGCTCGAACTCGCGCTACTAGCCATGCTGCTGCTCGCAGTGCCATGCTCACTGCCGCTGCCACCGTGCGTCATGAAGTTTCGGCGTGTGAGACGCGGGGGGGAGGAGGGGGAGACGTCTTTACTGCTACTACTCAGGCACGCGAAACCAGAAGAAAACGGAGGGTTTGAGGCGGAAAAATTGTTCAACGCACTCGTATGGTAGGCCTTCAGGACAATAAGGCACGCAGTATAGAGCACGCGAAAAGGTGCGGGTCGTCGATGACGTTCAACGTAAGCAACTGGAAAAAACGACAAGGACGAATACCCCATGCGACCGCCTGCGGCGACTTGCCTGTAGGAACAGAGTGATATAAAGTGCATATATAACACATGCAAAAAGGGAGGAAAGAGGCATCGCACGAAGATGTGCGGTGGAAATTTGCTTTGATTTCGCGTCCACCTTGTTTAATGGCATGCACGGTACCCCAAGGGGATGAAGCCATCGCTATGTTGGAGCCATCGCAGGGCGTGGCAGGGGCGAGAGGTTATAGGGGATGCGAGACGAAACGGTTGGCCGACTGAACGAAACGATTACAACACCACTGTTGCCCTTGGCGCCTTACAGCACTCTTAAAGCTATCTACCATTCGTGCGAAATTTCAATTTTATGTGTGGGACAATGCAAGCACCTGGCGGCGCGGTTACTCTGGGGCGCAACGCGGGTTCAAGCGGACTGGAAACCAGCCTCAGACCATTCTGCCGTTCTGGCCCATGCCGATATCGCCAACGCAAACGACTCATCCTTTTTATATACGTGATGCACTACAACAGGTCTTTTTGGGGTTATATCACAGCTTCATTTTTATTTCCTGTTCTCGGAAGTACCACCTCTCTTTCTTCCGTTTCACCTGCTTTGTTGATTAATAGCGACCCTTCTGCCGTGGGCAGCTCGAAAAAGCACGCTATCCGCATCTTTATGGCAACAACGAACAACAGCAATGGTTCCAAGCTTCTGCCAGAGTCCCCGCCGCATTCACTTATGGAAACTCCCGTCAAAAAGGACATTTTGGCTGTTGTAGGCGACCATGGTGTCACGGGAGCGGGCGAAGCGGATATAGTCTCCGACAGGATCGCCTCCCCGTGGGACGTTGAACAACCCCGCCAGCATGTCACTGCCGGACTCTCCAGCCATCGCATGTCAACGACCCTTGCACCAGCATTACTGCAAAAAATTGTATTCGGGCTGGGTGCCTCCTTTGGATTCAATGCGTTGGTGGTGGCCAATGGAACGTTAATGGACTACTATCAGGAGACCCTCGGGCTGTCCACCTCTTTCCTAAGTCTTGCCGATTTCCTTGCCGGTTCCTTAACGTTGTATGCAGTCGTGGGCTTTGGTTACATCAGCGACATTACGACAAGCTCTTGGGGACGGCGCAAACCTTTCGTTGTAGCGTTCACGCCGATTTTGGCCCTCTCCTTGGTCATGCTCTTCACACCAGGCTGGGCCCCCTATGCGGGAGGGACGGGCACTGCTGCTTGGTTTGGCGTCTTTTACACTCTCAGTCAGATCTCTATGTCTGCGATGACCGTGGTAATTGCCGCCTGGGGCACATCCCTGACGCACGCAGTTCACGAGCGCGCCTCCCTGTACACAATTGACGCTCTTGCCGACCTGCTGGGGTTCCTTGTTGGTGTGGCCATAACCGCTGCCGGGACCCCCGCCACCACAGGCTTAGCGCTAGCTGTCATCTTCATCTTCCAAAATCTCCTGCTTGTGCGCGTCCTCCGCGACGATCCCATCACTCCGAGTACGGGGACGACCGCTACCGAGGGTAGCAGTAGCACTCTGGTTCAGGTGCCTTTCATTGCGGGCCTCCACATGAGCTTTGATAATAAGCAATTTGTGGCGCTTTTCAAGGCGGCTGTCTTTGGCAGCATCGTTGGAACAACCGTGAACCTTCTGCCAATTTTTTTCCAGGTGGTGATGAATGTGCCCGACTCATCCCTTAAAAGGGTGTACGGCATCTACGTTCAAGCCGTTGTTGCCTCTGCTTTTGTCGCGGTCCTAGCCGTCGGACGCTTGAACGCGCGCTGGGGGAAAATCTGCGTACTCAGGTTCGGGGTGGCCTGTGGAAGTCTGTACGGGTTGCTGGCCTTCTTCGCGTCGTATGCCCGGACGGTCGAATGGTTCTACCTCACCAGCGTTCCCGCGGGGTTATTTGTCGGCACTGTAACCGTAAATGGCAATGTTTTGCTGAGCAATTCTATCGACTATGATCAGTTGAAGACGGGCTTCCGCCGGCAGTCGCTGTATCAATGTCTGATGTACGTGCCCTTGACCTTTGTGAGCGTGGCAGGCTCCTCCATCCCCTTGTCCATAATCACTGCCTTCGGGGGCCTGGAGGCAGGCCATGCGCCCCCTGCTGCCGTAATTCAGACTTTGAGGCTGTGGATTTCTTTAATTGTAACAGGGTGTTTGATCGTCTCGAACAATTACCTTTCCAATTTCAAGCTGACGGAGGCCGTGCAAGAGGACATTTCGGCACAGCTTCAACTCCGAGAGCAAGGAAATCTCCTGCCGCCCCGAGATCCTTTGCAAGAGAATGAGCCGCACAAAAATGAAGAAGTAGAAAGAGCAGGCAACTTGCCCTGTGGAACGTGCAAAGGCGCCACCGATGTCTCGGAGAAGAGGGGAGTGGATCCTGGCGAAGTGTGCGCTGCTGTGGACGCAGAGCTTGATATGTCATCTAGCATGACCGCCGCAGGGCTATGGCATTGCACCAATTCTTTCTTAGACCTCAACTTTTCCTCTTCGGAACTAGCTTTGCTGGCAACGCACAAAGGCAAACAGTGGAAATTGTGGACGTATCTTTTGAACATCATTGCGTCGGCCGTGTATGCCATCGTATTGCTCGTTGAAACCATAGCAGCTATAGACCAGAGGGGTGACTTGACCGGTGCGGAGGTCTTCGCATCCTTCTTCATGCTCGCCTCGAGCATGGTGATCTACGAAGGAGGTCGTCTGCACGCCATGAAGGAAATCTATAAGATGGGGGATGAGCAAAAAGTCGCACGTTGGGCGAGGCGGCGCTTAAGTGCACGAAAGAGCATTCGACATTCAGTTCTAGTCAATCCTTTTCGACTCGTAAGGCGAGAAATCGTTGCTCATACCATGATGAGCATTACGCTAATATTTGTGATCACTTCTTTACCCTCTCCTATTCGAAAATAGCTAAGTGGAAATGGAAGAGAGCTTGACGGGTGCAGTATACTATCAAATGTACCATAGACGCTCAGTTACAAGATATGAAAGGTCAGGAAATCGTGTATATACTTGTGCTCCATACATGTTGACGGGACGTCGCTCCAGGTATGAAATATCGGTTGTAAAAGGCGGACAAAGGAGATCGTGCGAGGGGTCGGGTCGACGAACACAGCTGACTCGTGAATGGCGTCATGCTTTTCCACTTGAACAGCAAGTAGATACTGCCCCGGGTGGCTAGGGTGTGTGGCGTGTTGAATAAAGCTACGACATTTCATGGCCTGATTCCTTATGATTCTTCAAATAGAGTTTTATTTTTTTTGCCGAAAACGTTGTTAACGCCGTTCACTCTTACATAAATATACCGCATTTCGATGAAGCAGAAACAGCCCAAACAGGCGTCTTATAAAATCAAGTATTCATGGCCCGGACAGTTAAACGTTCGGACGATGAGGGTGATGGAAATGGTAGCTACCTACGTAGTGGATCTCCACGCGCGCCGCCCCGGTTAAAGAAGCGGCAGTCTTCTCACAAAAGGAATTCTGGCGTTGTGGGTGTATCGGGGGGCCGGAGCGGGTGGTCTATGATATGGATGGTAGCCCTTGGCGGAATTCTTGGTCTCTTGGTGTACTCATGGCGAACGCTTATTCCAAGAGCAAAGATAGTGGAGTCACAACGAAGAATGCCTACTCCTGTGGTCTTAGAGCACCACTGCAAGGAGCATATCGGGCCGCCTCGAGTGCTCCAAGTTACGGAGAACGTTTGGGTTGCAGTAGGATTCGACCTGGCAAATACAATCCTCATCAAAACCAATGCAGGCCACGTGATTGTAGATGTAGCGATGAGCCCCCCAAGAGCACACGTCATCCGCAAAGCCCTCATCGAGGCTGCAGGGGACGCGCCCATTCACACCATCATCTACACGCACTCCCATATCGATCACGTGGGAGGGGCCTCGGGCTGGGCAGGAAACGGAACCAGAATTTGGTCGACGGAGGCTGTAACCTCGCACTTTTTCAAGCAGTACGGTGTTTTTCGCAAGGTAAATTGGTTTGATCATGGAGGTGTTTCCAAAGGGACCTCGATAAGGAATTATTTTTTGTCGACACACTGTATTTTGCTCACTCAGTCGCGTACGTGCCTGCTGAAGACTTATAAATTAAAACGTAGGAGTTACAATGTACTTTTCATCCGGTGTTTCAAAATCTGCACTCAATATGCCTCACAGACAGAGAGCTTGCGAGGCTCACGGCAGTACGGCACCCTGGTGGCAATGACAGAGCTGCCCTGCTCCGCCCTAGGGGCCCGCGTGGATTTGGATGCCATGCGGGCAGAGGCAGGTTTTTTATTGCCGACGGACACGTTTCGGGGGAACGCCTCGTTCTCGGTGGGGGGCGAGGATTTTGAGCTGATCGAAGCCCATGGGGAGACCCACGATATGCTGGTGGTCTGGTTGCCTCGACAGAAGGTCCTTCTCCCGGGGGACAACTACTACAGGTAAGGTAGCTGCGCCGTCTCCCCCGCTCTCTTTTTCTCCCCGACTTTGTCTCCTGTCCCTCCGTCTCGCCCCTACGCGGCCTCCTTTTCACGCACGCGTCTCGCCCTTCCCCCCGCCCCCCCCCAGGGCTTTCCCCAACCTGTACACAATCCGAGGAACTACCCCCCGCCCCGTCCGCGCCTGGATCCAGTCCCTCGACATGATGCGAAAGCTCAAGCCGGACTACCTGGTGCCTTCTCACACGGAGCCTGTGGTCGGCCTGGAGGCAATCTCGAAGCAGCTCACAGACTACAGGGACGGCATCCAGTGGGTGTACATGGAGACGATCCGAGGCGCGAACGACGGCAAGAGCCTCGACGAACTCGCCCTGTCTGTGGGCTTGCCGCCTCACCTCCGGGACAACGACGCCCTGGACGAGTTGTACGGGCAGATAGATTGGTCAGTCAAGGCCATCTATTCGGGGGAGCTGGGCTGGTTTGACGGGAATCCGGAGGTACGTGGGACCGGGCGCGAGCCTCGTTCGCTTCAATGTGTCCTTTATCCACCCTCCATCCCTTAAACCCCGCCATACCCTAGGAACTCTACCCCGTGGCGCACG